TCTCAAGTGGTAAGGAATTCTTGTAGTGCGTTTCTACAAGAAGTGCTTTCTTCACTACTACAGAAGACACATTTTACATCGATTTTTTTAGACATTTTACATCGGTTTTGAAAACGATGTAGATTCAAGCGATGTAAAAAGTGCAAGACATTTTACATCGGTTTTGAAAACCGATGTAAAAAGTATCATTTCTACATCGGTTCTTGACATAACTGATGTTAAATATGTCATATTTTACATCAGTTATTGATAGAACTGATGTAAAATATGTCATATTTTATAAAATTTCATGTTGCATTATTCTCCCAATAGCAGCCATGTCGGCTGTCTGGCCGTCGGAACGAAATGATTGGTCATAGAAGATGGTGACGATAAGGAAGAAGATGATGAAAGAGGCATAGAGACCATTGCCCATCCATCCCAATATTCTGTACTAGACAAAGAACAAATTCTTGGGTCCTTGTTGATACAGTGCTGGAAACTGCAAAGGACAGCAGCCCACAGCTCATCAATAATAGGTAGGATTATTCTAACATGGATGAAAAACATTGAAGACAGACATTTCAAGAGAACGGAACTGTAAACAAACTTCTGATGGAACATCTTGTTCAAAAACACCAAGGGAAATAACGGGTAATGATGTCAAAACAACATTGAACAAAATCATGTACCAGTCGTAATAAACCGATTGACCAGAGAAGCATGTGAAGGCCTCAAAATAGAATATGGTGAGGCCAAATGCAATATTCTTGTAGAATAAATAACATATATGCATGCATAACTGAACAGTTTAGAAAAGAAATACATGAATGAATTCATAATAAAAGGCAAGGCACCCAATGTGTGAGAATAATGATTAAGATGATTATTAATGAATTACCATTTGTGCAATCCTCTTGTAACACCAATGTCCATGGACAACTAGAAGCCTCTCTAAAAATCGAAACTGGGCAATCGCAATGTCACTAGCCATCACAGCCTGTAAGGAAGTTGAGAAATGTGATAGATTTTGACAAACAACTTTGATGATAATATAGCGTGTTACGGTATATGATTTCACAACTCATAATCTATACATTATAAACAGATAGATATACTCTTCTAACTAAAATTTTAAATTTCCTTTTTTATATTCGAACATAATCACATTAAGACTTGAGCCACTTATTTAATATAATTTTTAAACAAAAAGTAAAAGATAGAAACCGAACAAAATACATAAGCTTTCGCCCAATGATGATTGTCATTTAATTAAAAATTGGCTTTTTATAGTAATTACTTTAATAATTTTTAATCTGATGAAGATATAAAAATTTTGCTACCAAGAATAAGAGCGTACCAAAACTAAACTAAATATCGTATGAATTTACTTATACTATAGGAGGACACAACATAATTTAGTATGCAAAGTAACAGACAAATTGTATTTGTGACAAACAATAATTACGGGTTCTTTCGCCAGAACTCAAGGTTATGATACAATTTATAATGTTATAAAAACTACCTATCTCCTCCCCACATCTCAATGCATTATACAATTGGGTAACATGGACAAACTCCAATCCAATTCAAAAATGTCTTCTATGCATTACAGCAGCTATGTTAGCCCCATATTCAGAAGTCGGAACAGAAAATTGCCAGAGAGAACAAAGCTAGTATTATATATACATTTAACTTAACATATAATAATGAATGACTAAAATTAATTAACAATGAACAACAGAAAGTTTGCAATGTATTCCGTGTGACATTGAAAATTTTAGCTTTTCAATATGATCAGAATTCAAAAATAACTATGAAAGAACTATGAAAATAGCAGAATGCTAAGTAAGTTTCACATGAAGTGTCACATTTTCTTCATTTTATCATAGAAGAAATTAGCTGCAAATAATTATTAGCTAAGTGTGTGACATTTTCCTCATTTTATAGAAGAAATTACCCTGCAAATAATTACTGACAATGTAGAGAGAAGTTCACTTCTCTACTACATTGAATAAGCACTAATCACACATGGCTAATAGAAAGGCTTGACAATAAGCTTGGTCCACAATCTAGCTTGAAAATGGAGCCAAAACATGCAAATACAAACATTAGAGGTTCTCTCTCTCACCCATGTTATTTTTTAAAATATTAAAACTAAATAAAACTATAATTTGGTCTTGTATCTGAAACATAACAGATATGGCATTGCACTTAGCAATATTAAAGGTTAAAAAGAAAACCATCATTCACAGTGATAGTTTTATATGACATCATTATGCTTAAAGAGCCAGTCATGTAAGCCACTAACCTGCATACCTTCAACCCCACTGATTCCAACACCAATATCTGTTGCTTGAATCATGCCAACATCATTTGAACCATCACCTATTGCTAGAGTAGTCTTCCCAGTACCTTGTTTCACTAACCTTGTTACCTGATACCATAAAACAACACACAATTTTATTTCGCACAGTTGATATGTTGAGAGAGATTAGAAAAATACTACCTAGAAGTAAAATTGTTGTCGTAGAACAATAATTCTCTAGTAGTGCGTGGAACATATTGTTTGCCTATCTAATACAATTCACATTTAAAAATGGCTAAGTTCTAGCTTTTGGTGCAGCTTTAGTTGCTACTGCTGGTGCTCCAAACACATTCCAAAACCTCAATGTTTAATCCGCTGCTGCTGATGCCACTACGCAACCATCTGGACTCTGAAGTTAAATGACATTACACCAATCAGGAAAATACTCAAAAAATAAGAATCTAATCAGGTTTGTCACCCTTTAGAACAAAAATCTTAAAACAAAAGAAACCAATGATGTTCTAAAACCGATGTAGAATAGAGCGATGTAGAAAATATATACATTTTTACATCGGTTTTCTTGAGAATCGATGTAGATTGCATTTTTTTTTTAAAAAAAATTATGCTTATTTTTTCAACAGAGCCACAAAAAAATTATCACTTTGATTTCAGGCATATCTAGATTTTCAAGTGTCTGTTTTATTTTCAGCACTTGTTGCCTATATGGAGTTATTATGCCAATGATTCACATTTTGAGTCATGCAAATCAATACAACTCACTCACCCTGTAAAACAAACAAGAGAGAAAATTGAAGCATGGGCAGAATCATGTCCTGAATTGCTGAACTTATCCTCAATGGATTAGAAACACTTCAGACAATTTAAGCCTATAAACACGTACCATAAAAGACAAGCCCAACACAGGAAACAGCGTATTATCCCAATATATCATTATTAATTAAGCACTATGATCTCTCTTTCCCAAAAGATTCATCTATGATAACACTACATATTTCAAATTTAGTAATTTAAAACAATATCAGCAAAAAGTATTTTCCAAACTAGATTAGATACCATGCTCGATCAGCATAATATTCCATCTCCAAACGCATGCTTTCAGTAATTTCATACTGGTGTTCTTCACCCAAGTCAGACTTATCTGCCACTTCATCCTGGACACATGAAATTAATAATTATATAAGTTGATGATATAGCATTATAGCATGTATATTGAAACTCGAAAGTAGTCATAATAATTGTAGTGTGAAAGAACTTTGATTAAAAATTATTCATTTTCATTTTTTAGCATTTATAATGAATTATCAAATACACAAGGGAACTATCGGACCTTAGATGCAAAATATATACCTCATACGTATTTGAAGTTTGGGAAGAAAAAGTAAGTTGATGAGACCTTCCATTATGTCTGGCAACAGAAGATCTGGTTGAAGATCCAGAAGCACGTATTGGGATAGGAGATGAGGATATTTCTCATACAAAATTAAAGTCAATTACATATTTTTCAATAGAACTACAAATAGCCTATTTCATGTCTGGTACAAATTTACATCAAAGTAGGGGAGGTAAAATAGATCAGTCCGATCCATTTAAGCTTATCCCATTGTTAGCTCATTAAAAAAATACTACTGTACTTAAAAAAATATGTATATATATAGCTTATCCAGAGTTTCAATCAAAACATATATTATGTTTGTTGTTTAACTATTAAAGAGTTCCTTTTTCCCAAGTCTAATTTCAAGTTCAAATTTTGTGAATAGGAAAAGCAAACTTAAGTTTTCCAACCATTGAGTGGGTTCTCCCTGCTTGACCGAAATAGTCAAGACCCAAAAAAATGTAAAGAATAATTATAATCCATTGTTAAACCACTAATTAAAAATGAAGTTTATGTACTAGTAGTTAATTGACATACCTTAAGATACAGTCCTTTACCTTCTCTTTTCTTTTTTAAATACCTTTGGATATTGAACAGTTTGGTGCTTTCTATTTTTAGCTAGATGGATCCATTCCAATCATTCTTAGGCTTCTACCTAGTAGTGTTTCTAACAGAAAATTTCACAAGCAAATAGAAACAAAAGTACCTGGTCTTCAGCCCAAAAGCCTCTCAGATAAATGGTGCATGTCATTACATGTGTCACCCAGATGATTAATTGAGCCACTATATATATATGCCCCCCACAATTAGGGATGGCAAATATATTCGTACCCACGAGTAATACTCGAACCCGTCCCGACTTTGACGGGGAATACCCAGTTTGACCGGGTACGGGTACGGGTAAAACCCGATATATTAAATCGGGTACGGGTACGGGGATGTACTTACCCGCCCCGTACCTGTATCCGTACCCGTCCCCGTTCTCATTTTTAATTTCATATTCACTTTCAATTTAATTATATTAAAAAAATTTAATATTTTTTAAGTGTGATTATTTATTATAATATGAGATAAAGAAACAACCTAATTATAATTATAATATAATAAAAAAATAATTTAAAAATATCATTTTTCTTTTACAAAAAATAAAAAATAAAAAAAATTGACGGGTACGAGTACGGGTACGGGTATACCCGATACCCGACGGGGACGGGGATAGGGATGAAAATCTATACCTGACGGGTATAGGGACGGGGATGGGGATGAGTTTAACTTGCGGGGACGGGGACAGGTATCATGAAACCCGTACCCGCCCCGCCCCGCCCCGTTGCCATCCCTACCCACAATCATGAATTACATTTCATATTAAGTACTACTTGTCAAATAACCTGTTTTTTCAAGACCAAAACAGGGGAACCAAAAGTGAATCAATCCCAATCCCAGAATATGAGCCATCAAGCTGGCCAAGCCGCGGGACAAGCTCAGGTTAGTTTTACCACTGATACAAATAAGACATGTATGCAATATATTCATGACCTTGTAATTTTTGCACATCATTCTCAATTATAGACTATAGTGGCATTATAGCTAGAATAATATTATTTATTGTTCATTTAGGAAAAGGCAAGCAACATGATGGACAGTGCAAGGAATGCTGCTCAATCTGCCAAAGAATCCTGCCAAGAGGTTAGACCATTTATTTGAAAAAATTAACTATGTTGACTTAAAGTATGTTTGGAAAATACGTAAAAGTTAGATTATTTTTATAATCAATTATAAACTTCATATTTTCTAATACATCAATACAACTTATTGTTTTTTTAAAATAAAAGAAAAAACTGTTTATATGCAAAATTCAGCTGTTGTCTGAAATATACAAATTTTTTACAAACAACTTCTTTTCACTAAAAAAAAATCTGAAATGATGGAACTAATGGAACATCCAAACATGCTCTTAGAATGAATAAAAGAAGCTAAATATTATGGAGAATTTTGGTGAGTGATGAAAGTGTTTTGGTGTTGTAGGCTGGGCAGCAAATGCAGGAAAAGGCACGAGGGGCTGCTGATTCTGCCAAGAGCGCAGTTGGGGCTCAAAAATGAATATATTGGAGAGCTCTTTAAGTGGCATTCAATATTCATGTTTTTCAATATTTGGTTTTTGGGCTTATGCATTTATTTGCTTTCAGCAGTTTTTGGACTAATATGACTAGTTGTGTACCAGCCAGTTGAAGGCCTTGTTTGTTAGTAGCATATTATAGACAATCAAATTTCACAATTTTCAATTAAAAATACACGTTTCATTGCAACTTCTTTTAATTAAGATTAAATTTTTAGTGAAACATGAGTGATATATTTTATATACATACTCAACTCAAGATTAAATTTTGGATCTCACTCAACTATTATCTAACACTATTGAATTAAAGAAACAAATGAAATCAAAACATTCTTATCAGCAACAGTAACACTTACAATAATGTGAGGTTGCTTTGCTATCTTGATGGATTGTTGTACCATGTCAATTCCTCCAACAAGCTAGAGAGAAAGGAAATCATGTCAAGCAAATAGTTTTTCTAACGTGATTGTCTCAAATAGAAGATTAACACAGTTCCTAACCATGATTTAAAGCTAAGTATTATGCTGGAAATGGTATAAGGGGACTGAACACAAAAACTCTAAGTTATGCAGTAAACGAGAAGCAATAAAATTCACACAGTGAATCATTTAAAAAAAATTATATTGAAACTCACCATAGCACACTTGACACCAATTTCAGAACCTAGAGCTTCAAACTGGTCAGCAATTTGAATAGCAAGCTCTCTAAATCAATAAAAAGGTTAAAAATAGAATAAATAAACTAGTTAAATGTGAGTTAGCATTTTCAATCAATAAAAATTCAAATTATATGAAAATTCATCACATGATTAGGTATCAATCAAACCTGGTGGGAGACAACACACAAGCAAAGAAATTATTTGGGCGTGGTTCTTCTAAGAGAGCATGCAATATGGGAAGGGCAAAAGCTCCAGTCTTACCAGAACCTGTTTGGGCAAGTCCTATCACATCTTTTCCTGAAAAACACAAACCACAAAGAATAATCAGAATTTTAATAGGATTTCACCATTGTTAATAAAGCCAATCCCCAGAACAAAAGATAGAGAAAAATATAGAAGTTGGATCTTTGACAGATGGTGTAGGTGGGTCTCTCGATGTCGAGGGATCTCCGACAGATGTCGTAGATGGCTTCGTTGTCGAGGAGGACGGCAACGTCGGTGTGTTCGAGGAGGGAGTGGGTGGAGAGGACGTTATTGTAGGGTTCCACCACGGCAGTTGAGACCTGAGGGGAAGGGTAAATGGTGAAGCCCAGTTTGGATTTTTTACCGTAATCCACGGAGAGACACTTGAGCAGGAGGGAGCCGAGGCCAGACCTGGTGCCGCCGCCCATGACATTGAAGACGAGGAAGCCCTGGAGGCCGGTGCAGTTGTTAGCGAGCTTGCGGATGTGATTTAGGCACAGATCTACGATCTCCTTGCTGACTAGAAATGGAAATTAGGGTTAGGGTTACGTTATTGGAAAAAGAAAGGGAAATATAGAGAGAGGGGGGAGGTTACCTGTGTAGTGGCCTCGGGAAAAGTTGTTGGCGGCGTCTTCCTTGTCAGAGATGAGTTGCTTCGGGTGAAAGAGTTGGCGGGAGAAGGGGTTTGGAGGCGGAAGAGAGAAGATGAATGATGGAAACTTGTTGGAGAAACCCGGATTGATGTTGAGTTTCCTTCAAGCTCCTCCCTAGATCTTGAACTCCTTGATTCTTCCTATGCTTGATTAAGGTCTCCTATGGAGGAGGAGGCCTTAAGACCACCACGGTTGGTGGAGAAACTCTCCCAAGAGGCGCCACTCCTTGTTGTAGAGATAAGCCCCTTCAATTCTCACCACACTCTTCTATGAAGGGATAAGAGAATTGGATGCACTCAAAGAGGTTTAGGGACTTTTGGAAGAGAGAAATCTGAACTCTATTCAGAATATACAATCTCAATTACATCAAAAGTGTTTTACAAAGAAGGAAAAACGAAATTATAGGAGTAGGAAGCTTGGAGAGTAAGCTAGTCTTAACCATGGTTCACTAGGAACCATGGTAAGGTCTAGCTAACCACCCATGGTCTAGAGGCTTGGAGAGCAAGCTCCTCACTTAGCTTGCTTGGTAAGCTAGCTAAGGAGAAGCTTGTGCTTCAAGCTTCCAAGCTTGAGAAGAACCAAGCTATTTGGCCAAGTGTGAACACAAGTGTGAACACAAGTGTGAACACATCTAGGTGGGCGGCTCTTTGGACTTAATTTACTCCAACCGGTTTTGAAATTGATAATTTGGTTTAGTTAGGTTCATCCAATGTGAATGGAACCTAGCTAAATCAAATCTATGAAAAATTAGGAGTAAAATGAGTCCAATATGTAAATTTTAGCCTAGGACCACCTTTTGGCTAAATTGCTAGTAACACTCTCTAGCTTGCTAATGGCACTCTCTAGCTTGCTAATGCCACTCCCAATCCTACTACTAGAAAACTAAGAAAAGAATGTATTTCTAGGTTAGGTTAAATGGAGTCCAAGTGTCCAAGTAACCTACCCTAGAAACAATATACAATAGCTACTAAAAAGGAAATAAAGTGCCTCACAAATACAAAGGCAAAAATACACCTATACAAGTATCTACTATATACAAGGTACAAGAAAACAACTATACAAGTATGTACAATGGAAACTTAAGAGACTAATAAGAGGAACTATAATCAATGCTCATGATGAGCAAAGGTCTTTGAAGCACCTCCTCTTTAGAAGTCTTCTCTAGCTTCCTAACCATGGACCTAGTTAAAGGCCCAATGGTCTTCATGGGTGAGCCTCCTTGGATCAACCTTCACCTTTCTTGGTCTTACCTCTTCCAAATGGATCCTTGGGGATTAGATTTCCATCAATGAATTTCGGAGGTTGGGGGTAGTGTGCACCCTGCGCGATAATATTAAGGATTCATTTCTACATCGGTCGTAAGCAAAACCGATGTAGAACAACTCCCAAATTTTATTTCTACATCATTCATAAGCAAAAGCGATGTAAATATGTTTATATTTTTTATTTACTTACAAGTTTGCCACCACGTTTATGATTTACATCGGTTCTACTAGAATCGATGTAAATATGGCGATGTGAAACAGTATTTTTGTAGTAGTGTGTGTAAGTGATATCATCCGAGTAAACCCGAGTGAGGATTTTTATTCTGTTTAGCTATGACCGAGCAGGCGCATTGGGTGTGAAAACAGTTGGGGTGGTTTCGATAGGATTGGGATGTCACTTACACTGCTCTATTGTTAGGGAGATCTCCTAGGTGTATGTGTGACGATGCATTAGATGATTGATATGCATTGATATCTGTCATGAGTTGCATGTATTGCATGATTGTTATGATGATGAAGTGTATGGTGTTTGACTTCATGTTTGATGAATGGATGATTGATTGAGATGGAAGTTCCTTTAGGACTTGATTTGGATGCATGTGTAGTATAGATTTTATTCTATACTTGTATGATTGATTTTTGAACTCTAGCTTACCCTTCTATTTCCATGTGGTGGGACTGCAATGGTCATACTTGGTATGGGAGCAGGTCAGGGATAGCTTGGAGTTGAGGTGACTGCTACGAGACGGGGAGTTTGATCCTCGTGTTAGAGTTACCATTTGGGTAACGGTTTTGTCTATACTTGACCGGCACTAGGGAATATTATTTTTGGGATGACTATACATATATGGTGTTCTATTTTGTATACAAAAGCTTAGTTTATTTCATTCTTATCTATTCCTGCATGTATGAGTTATCCAGCTTAATATTTCTCTTAGTTCACTAGTAGTAGTGCGATTCTACTAAGTGTAGAGACCATTGTGGGTCGTTACGCTTTTATGGTATCAGAGTCGGTCAAGTCTTTTGGATACTCTATGAGGAGTGATACTTCTAGGTTTCTGTTGTGTCCTATCTCTGATATGTGTTAGTTTTGGTGGAGGGCACCTAGGATGCATGGTCTTATTATGCACCTAGATGTAGCTTAACCAAAACCAAAGATTCCATCATTATCCACCAAGTAGCATCTAGGGTTAATTTAGGCTTCATTTGAAGTGCATTTGGCTTGCATTTTTCGGCCAAGCACTCTCAAATGCAACCCTAAATGCTTCCTCCTTTCTATAAACACCTTAGGCTATGCAACTTGTAATCACTTTGGAATTTATGATATTAAGAGAGCCTTTAAGCCTTAATATTCTTTCCTTAGTCCCCTTGGTCATTTCGGCCAACTATCCTTCTCATCTGCACCATGAGTGTTCTCACCTTTAGGAGTGGCCTTCATCCATCAATGAAGTGAGTCAAAACCCTAGAGTACCACCTTAGCATTTCATCAAACACCTAGCCTCCATAAACACCATTCGCCCATCTCCATCATCAAGGCTAGAAACCTTGAGTTCCATGATCCAAGGAGTCTGGTCTTCCCTCTTTGATGCTCCTAACTCAATCCATACAAGGAGGGTTTCCATCAAAAGGGAGGTTCACACTGGAGAAAATACAACAGAACTCCAAGAGACAAAGCATAGCCATTGTGCTATGAATGCAAGAAACCAGGACATTACAAAACAGAATGTCCAGAACTAGAAAAAGAAAAGGAGAAAGAAAAGAAGAAGTCCACTCTCCACAAGAAGAAGAAGGCCATGATGGCTACCTGGGAAGACCTAGACACGACATCATCTGAAGATGATGAACAAGTGAACATATGTCTCATGGCAGACACAGACTCGTCATCAGAATCTGATGATGAAGAGGTTAGTGAATCTGATTTCAAAGATCTTCAGCATGCATATAATCAGCTTCTAATTGATTTAGCAAAGATCTCCATAGCATATAGAAAACAGAAGAAAAGAATTTCTAAACTACTTGAAGAAGAAAAATTGCTAAACAAAGAAAATGAATCATTAAAATTAGATTTATCAAAGTTCACCCTAGGATCTAAGAATCTTGAAAATATTTTAAAATACTCTAAGAGTAAAAATGATAAGTCTAGATTAGGATATGTTGATTTTGAATCAGAAAAAAAAATCAAGTACATCTGCATATCCTACTTATGGGAAGCATGGGCATTTCACGCCTAAGTGCAGTCACATGCACAAGAAGGGGAATTCCAAAACCTCAAACGCTAACATTTATGGACCCAAATCCATTTGGCTACCAAAGACTGAAATAATACCTGTTGCAGATCTGTTCAACAAGAAAAGGAAGTGTCCATTCATGGTACCTAGATAGTGGCTGCTCGCGACACATGACAGGCGAAAGGTCTATGTTCCTAGACCTCAGATCCAAGAAAGGAGGCCAAGTCACATTCAGCGGAGGACAGAAAGGACAAATCATGGGATAGGTAAAATAGGTATAACTTCCTCTATCACCATTGATAACGTCTTATATGTTAAGGGATTAACTCATAACTTGCTAAGCATAAGTCAATTATGTGACAATGATTACGAAGTATCCTTCAGCAAAAATAAATGTATTGTTAGTCAAACTGATTATCTGTATTATTTACGGCTAACAGATGCAGTAACTTGTACAAAATAATGCTTCATGAACTAGAAAATCAAAATGTTGATTGTCTAGTATCCTATGAAAACTAGTGGATGTGACACAAGAAGCTTGACCATGTAAGCTTGAGATTAATCTCAAAGCTGAAAAAGCATAATCTCGTAAGAGGTCTACCAAGTCTTGTGTACCAGACGAATAGCTTATATGAAGCATGGAAAAAGGGGAAACAAGTTAAAAGTTCATTTGAAAGTAAAAATCATGTTTCCACCTCGAGACCTCTTGAACTACTCCACATAGATCTATTCAGTCCCACTAGGACTGCATCTGTCAGTGGTAAATGATATGGACTTGTCATTGTTGATGACTACACTAGATGGACATGGGTTTTGTTCATAACCCACAAGGATGAGTCCTTCAAGGTATTCCATGTATTCTGTAAAAGGGTTCAAAACAAAAAAGGAATATCAATTGCGTCAATAAGAAGTGATCATGGGGGAGAATTTGAAAATGAACAGTTTCAAGATTTTTGTGAAGAAAATGGAATCAAACATAATTTTTCAACTCCTAGAACTCCACAACAAAATGAAGTTGTTGAAAGAAAGAATCGGTCTTTACAAGAAATGACAAGAACTTTATTAAATTATTTTTCAACTCCTAAACACTTTTGGGCAGAAGCAGTTAATACTTCCTGCTAGATACAAAATAGAATATATATTAGACCTATCTTGAAGAAAACTCCCTAT